CAACCAACAGCATATAGCCTAGTGAAGCGGGTCCGGTGCAGATCTTGGTGGTAGTAGCATATATTTCAAAAGGGACTCTGAAGGCCGAGGAGTGGAGGTATCCACGGAACAACCCCTGGGACAGCCCCACCGCACAACCAATACTGCGGCAGCCCCCCACTGGTACCCCTGGCACCGTGTCGAATAGGAGGGAGTTGGGCCGGCCCATAAAATCCATAGTGCGGGCTCGGGTAAAGCAGGTTCAGGTACAGATCTTGGTGGTGGTAGCAACTTCTCAAGTGAAAGCCTTGAGGCTGCAGCAGAGACAGGTTCCATGTGACCAGCCGCTGCAGCGGCGTCCGCCCTTGGTGTGCCCGACCCCACTGCGCCCAGGCATGGTTCACCACCTTTTCGGGCCCCAACCGGGCACACTCACACTCAATCCTCACACAGTAGACTGCGGTTGGCGGATGGTGCACCCATAAATTGTGCAAGAACTTCAAGACTTGAAAATAAATAAATAAATAAATAAATAAATAAATAAATAAATAAATAGGGCATTTCCCTTGCCCCGCTGTGCGGGCAGCACAGCTCCCCATCGTAGGGTCCCAATGAGCGTGCTCACACACAAACCTCTCACTTCTCGCAGCAGCCGGAGTTTAGGGGGCGGTGTATACCCCGGCCACAGCCGCCCAGACCTGTTCCACCACCTCGTGGGTCCTACTGCAGACCTCGGTTGGCGGATGGTGCTCTCGCGGAGTGTCCCCGCCACTCAGGTTTCTTCCGCCCCGTGGGCTAATCACCCACAGGCCTGCATGCACGTCGACTTCTTGGTCCGTGTTTCCAAACGGGCAGGATAGGAAAAATTGCCAGCATCCCGAATACGCAGAAACCCAAACTGGCCCGCCAAAAGGCGCGTACTCAAGGTCCTCGACAGGCGTGACGGCCACTTTGCGGAGATTGCAACCGCTGGCCCCTTCAGCCCACGCAGGGCGGTACCCCGCGAACAACCTAGGTACTGATGCTGGTGCCGCGTCCCGGAAACAGGATCGGCAACTAAAATAACAAACACCGGAAATCGGTGCTTTGGGGACGGGAGACCATCGGCGCCCGTTGCCGTGGTCGACAACAAAACCGAGGGGGATAGCCTCGGCGGGCCCTCAACCCCTTGGTATCCTCAATCGCTCCAACGCTCCATCGCCGCCGGCCTCGATCCCTGTACCGCCACTTTGAAAATCCCATGTTGTTACCAATAGTGCTAGTACCCAGGGCTGAGATGGACTTCTGTGAAATTCAATATAAGTTGTTGCCGCACGGCACGCGGCCTACCAAAATACCCCAAGGTCATTCCTTCGCCTACGGACCAAACTCACGGCTGCCGACCTATGGCGTCTGCCGCTCATAGGGCCTGGTTCTGTCCACGACTGTCAACCTCCCGCATCTACCGCGCGGAGGCCACCGCTCGCATTCTAATTTCCTCTCGCACGCCCCAATTACTGCCTAAGGCAAAACCATTTCTGATGACGCATGCCGTATGAACGCTGGTGCAAAAGAAAACTTTCCTAGTTTTAACCAAGCCAAAAATTTTGCCGGCGGAAACGCCGACTCCACAGCATCAAGAATGAAAATTATCACGCGCGCCTCAAACCTGTGCGCCCATACACTCTACTTCCAGTCATCCATTCAGTCAACGCGAACCAAACACAACCGCAACTTCGCACAGTATACTCAAATTTTGAACAAATCTTATTTTCTGTCGCTTGCAAAACCCAGGGCGGATACCCTTGTAAGGGTATTCGCGCCGACACCGTGTCCAACTGTCTGGGCCCTATGTTCGGTCCATGTTCCGTATCTCGCCCAGGGTCTGACTTAGATACATTTGATAAAGGAGGCCAGGGCCTGGGCGCCTTCAACCAAACTGGCGCTGCGCAACTGCCTGAATTTCCCCCCAGTTGCGAAGTAGTCCAAAATAGGCCTCTTGTCGTTTGTCGAGCCTGCCTTCACCTAGGGCGGCCGACCTGTTGCAAATAGGGACCCAATAGGGCTTATCGAGGTGTTGCATACTCGTGAAACACAGTCATAAGTATGGCGCAGATTCCCAGAACCGACCAGATAATACAAAGTTAATACAAACACAACGGAAGAGTTGATACCCATGGACTGACTCTGACCTGACTCGGACTACAATCGAATGCTCTCAATCATGCATCAGTGGTGTGAAAGCCCTGGCCTTGGACATAGAGGAAAGGCCAGGGTCTGAGAGCATACACGGACGAATGGAGGGAGAGAAGAGACGAGGGAAAAGGAGAGGGAAGATGATGTCAACTCAATATTTCCAAAGATAGTATCTTGACATGTCAAGAGTAGCGCAAATCCGAAATGTCGCGAACACAGAGTCTCACAGTGTCTCAGATATCGATCTCACAATGTCAAGGTACATCTTCAGAGGTAGATGAAATCAGATCCCAAAAGTAGTCCTCACCCTACAGTCTCAATGTTGCTGTCTCCAATATCATCAGAACTCGTAACCATCCTTCATACCCGTAGTAGTCCAGTAGGAGAACCCAGGAGTAGACT